ACAACAAATGCTGGTTACAATTTTACATTGAAAATGTTAAAGATGTGAAAATGTTAGATACAATTTAAACGTGAAATTGTGTGAGATACAATTTAAAATTTTAATGTCCTGCATCTCCATATGTTTAACTTTTCACTTTTTCTATCGCTTTTTTTTATCATGATTGTTTTTACTTGTAACGCGCACACACATGCCCATTGTTTTATTTAATTTATTTTTTTCATGGGTAAAAACTTTTAAAATAAAATGTGGGAATGGTTTTTAACTCTGTCATCTTAAAGGTTGACAATATGAGAATAAATTATATGTGGTAGCAAACCACCTTTTATAAGCTGAAGTGTCAACAAGATTTGCACAGTGGACGGTTTTTGCCCTCTCCCATTTGGAGATATAAAAACAGGTTATTTGTCAAAGTTTAGTCATAGTAGATAAAAAAAAAAAAATGTAGTGTAGATGTGATAGCTATAGGATTTAACACTGCAAAATGATTATTCTCTGTCTGTATATCGGTGTATTTTTTTTTTTTATATATATATATATTTCTAGTAGACCTTAGTGATGCAAGGTATACTATGAATATATGAATTTGACAGACATCAGTGATAGGTGAAAATTGCTTGCATTCACAGAAAAGCAGCAAACAAGAATGTTAACCACCCAGTGAATAAAACATTTGGTTTAAGTCACGTCCTAATTTCTGGTTCCACTCAACCCATCTGTCAATGTTGTATGTGTTTTGTAGTTGTCTACCAACAAGGGTAATATTATTGATACCATGGTATCATTTATTACAACTGATGCTACTGGATCAGAGGATTGGACCATGTCACCTGATAACATGAATTATAATTCCACCACTTTGAGGCAGACTATTGAGTTTGTGGGGGAAGCGACATGAGACTATGAATAGTTTGTCGGCAGGGGATTGTTATGCAAGCTGGTCGTTTTATATACCTTAGTGATGCAATTTTTTGCTTAAAAGTTTTTCATGGGATATAAAAGATTTGGCAGTCGAAATGATTAAATACTTTCTAAGCAGTCTATGACATCTCTAAATTTTCAAATTCTCACACTGTCACAGACTTTCTTTGATTGCAATCCATATAATTTAACATTTTAGGGTTTTTTTTTTGTCTGCTGACCATCCAGTATATGGATTGCTTTCAATTGGTTTCCTACAAAGTTTGAACCGTCTTAGGTATGATGATAAACTACATCCGTGTCCAGGTTAAGACTATGTCCAACAGCAAGGCCTCTGATCAGGAGGTTTTGAGAAGTGTGGAACCATCTCTTGATTGCTGGTGTTCCCAGGTCCACTCTGACCTGGGGTGGTAGCACCCATTAGGGTCCCAGCTATAGGCAAATAGTTAACCCCAAAACTGAGGTAAAAAGCATTAAAAAATGTAAGAATAGGTTTTAATACCAGAAATACTTTGTAAAAAATTATTTCCAGAAATAAATTTTTGAAGAAAAAAATAATATTACCAGCAATATGTTTTTGAAAAAAATATTACCAGCAATACATGTTTTAAAATAATATGACCATCTATACATTTTTGAGGAAAAAAATATTACCAGGAAAAAAATGTTAGCATTAAATAACCCATTGAGGTTGATAAGCTGTAAAACACAACAAACCAAACCAAGTTTGAAGTGTTGATATCCAAATTTTATCCGAGTTTCACTCACTGAATCCACCTTGAGTTTTTTGTTTTTCTTCATTTGAATAGTTTCTACTGACAAATGACTAAGCTATAACCAAAACTTTATGTATATCTGCTATGGCTGTGATAGTCAGACAATACACACACTTTATAGCATTTCACTGCCAACCGATTAATCCAATGGGAGAGTCTGTTCAAACATGGACAGTAAGATCTCCTCTGAATACTTGCCAAGTTCTATCATGACTGCACAACTGGTTCTTGAGATATTCAAAATGACTAAGATATTTTCTGGACAGACCTCATAGTTCTAAAAACAGAATTGGTAAAGTTTCAAGTATTGATGAAACAAGGTTAAAAAAAAACAAAAGGTTAGAGATCTGAAGTTATATATATTGTTTGAAATTTGCTATATTTATATGGGAAGAGGGCTCAATATTGAAGATAGTATTTATAAATATAGACAGTATGGATATAGGAATCAACACTGTATTGTTCCAAGTTTCAATGCAATCTTCAGGTGGTCTGAGGATTGCACTGAAGTGTGAAATTTGGTCACCATGCAGTGCTGATCCTAGTGTCTCCACACACACATTTCTAAAGAACTAATGGATTTATTTTTAATCCAACATTTTTATTACTTCAAATGTTATGTTTAGTGGATATCCGTGTTTGAATAGACTCCCTGTTGGTGGATTCTCCTTACAAAAGAGATGAAAGTTTGGACCGTGTCCTGGGTAAGACGATAAACTATGTTCAACAGCAAGGCCTCTGATCAGGAGGTTTTGAGGAGCATGGAACCACCTCTTAATTGCTGGTGTTACCAGGTCCACTCTGACACAGAGTGGTAGCACCTGTTAGGGTCCCAGCTATGGGCAAATAGTTAACCTCCCAAACTGTGGTCAAAACTCTATGAAAGTGTAAAAATAGGTTTCAATACCAGCAATAGATTTTTGAAGAAAAATAATATATTACTATCGACACATTTTTGTAAATAATTATTACCAGCAATAAAAAATGTTCTCTTCATTAACCCATTGAGGTTTATATGCCATAAAACAAACAAACCAAATTCGAACCCTGCTGGAAAGCACATTCTATTAAGAATTAAGTGTACACACTGATAGATAGTACATACTGTTTAAAAAATGGGATGTCTATTCAAGCATGGGTACCCACTAAAAATAACATTTGAAGAAATAAAAATATCGGATTAAAAATAAATCCATTAATTCTTTAGAAATTGCTTTGTTTCAATTTTGGATATGAAACTGAGCAGATGTAGGTTTTCGCGAAAAATCTGGATGAGGAAATGTGATTTCTTTAAAAGGGAAATAGAACCTTGCTGGGCTATTCACACTGTACGGTCTAAGGCATCAAGACTGATCAAAGGGTGGTTTCTCCTAGAAAGGGTGGGGAGACACATGTTTGAAACCTGCCAGAGAGCAGGCCTGAGTTTGAATCTCAGCATAGTTGATTTGTCATCCATTCAATCCTTGCAAATTGTTTGATGTTTGGATCCATTCCGTCAAAATGTGCAAAGAGTTTATTCAGTAGAGATAAACCTTTTGATAATCCCTTAAGGGTAAATTTCCTTTTTGTTTTTTTTTTTTTCTCCGTGGTTGTAGCAAATTTAGTCTAATGAAGTCCAAAAGGACAAACTGCATCACAAAACCTTTTTTCCACTTTGTCATACATTCCCCCCCAATATTGTTCTTGATATATAAAAAATATATATATTGTTATCTCATGTATTGTCCAGTTCACACTCTTCCCTGGTCTTTTGAACAGGGTTTATCCTTTATTTCCTATTTAGGATTGGGTTTCCAGTTCCTTCTAAAGTCTTTTACATTCTCTTTCACTCCCAGTAGCTCCTTGTATCTTAGTGGCATTATTGTCTTGATTGGGGTAAATTGATTTAAAATATATATATATATATATATATTTATATTGTTTTGACTGTTATCCTCTTCGTTATTGCCATATTCACAATGTTTCAGCTGTTGCTCTGTTACTCTGGCTTTCTTCAGGCAATTGGAATTTCGAACTGAACTCTTTATTTCGTTCCACTTGCCATGCTTCTTCCAAATGTCTCAGTTATCTCCCTTTAACTCAACTCTCCAAATTTTTGTTCACCATTGTCGTAGCCAGGTATTGAACTCACAACTCTCTTGGGTTAAGTTACTGGATTCAACCAACACTTTTATCCACTGGACCATGGGTCCTTGAGGACAGATATTAAAAAAAAAAAAATCCCTTCTTGTAAACCCCCCCCCCTCTTAAATACTCTTAGTTCTGCCAGGTGCTATTGGTGCTTGAACATCTACATGTGTTCTGTCAATATTGATTCTAGATGAAAGAGAATTCTAAATTTCATGTTCTTGTTTATTTTATATTAAATAATAATAAAGAAAATGTCTTGCTCATTTTCTATTAATTGTTTTCATTCCCTGTGTCTTTTCTATAAATGTTTTCATAGTAATTGTTCTGATGAGCTTTCCTCTATGGTACCTAGATTTTATTAATTTAATCATTGTACTAGATTGGTAGCAAGGTCTCATCACTTTACAGTTGAAATGGCTAGATGTAACCATAAGTTCTATGCTAACAGTTTCTTTTCTCACATTTCTCTCTTCTAGCTTCTTGCTTGCCAGTCAAATTTAAATGCAATGTTGATCATTATTTTTTTGTCTTAGTTCCTGTTTTGTTATTGTTTTCTTGCCTTATATTATCTCACATTCAGTAACCCCTTATGTCTTAGTGGCTTTATTGCCTTGTTTAGGAAAAAAAATTGAGGAAAAATATTGACTTTTCTGAATAAAAATCAAACTGGTGTGTTTTATTTATTTTTTTCCTATATTATTTTTTAACCTCTTATATAAGTCTGTCTATATTTGAGATGAGGGATTGTAACTAGTTATATTATTCGGACTATTTTTCTCATCTTTATTACCATATTCAAGATATTTTGGTATTTTTCAGGTGATATTTGAGCGAAACCCATTATTTAGTCCATGGGGGTAGGCTTTTCTAATTCCACTTGCCATGCCTTTGGATATCTCAGATTTAGTTAATTCTTGATAACTCAACACTTCAAGTTTTTTTGTTCCCTCTGCTGTGGCCAAGTCACTTTTGGATCAATCAACCAACTCTTTTATCCACTGGACCATGTGTCTTAGTATTATTGTTTTAATATAAACCATATTTACTCATTTTTTTTAAAATGTCATTACTTGTCATTGAGATTGATTTGTAAGATTATTAGAAAATATTTGGAAAATAATTCTGTTCTTTCTGACAATTTTTAAAAAAAATTCTTTTTTATTTTTATTTCAGCCAGCAAAGCTCATAGGGAGGAATTAGAAGCCATCTTATTAATTTTTGAGGTAAAGCACAAATCAAAGCAACCATTTTTTTTTTATATTTTTTTTTTTATTTGGTATGCAAAATTAATTTTTATTTCAATTGTTGTTATGTAAATTACTTGTGCTTTCTTTTACTTGAATACCTGCAGAATTTTGTGATCTTAAAAACGTCCTGTGAATAGTTGAATGATGTTTCAATATGCACTGTAGTATTGCTTTCCTTTCTGTGTGTGGTGGAAATAGGCTCCTTTATTGTGATGAGATGTGACATAGTGGGAGTATGCTGCTTTCAAATCTCTTAATTTTGATGTGAAAAACCAACACTTTAAAAACAAAAAAAACAATGTCCTGTATAAGATCCTTTCTAATTTTAGCATTACTTCTGACTATGCATCTGGCGAATCATTAGGCTGTTATCCTGATATAGCACTACATCTGTCTTATCTGCTGTTTCTATTAATTTAGATGTATAAATTAAAGAATATTTCATGTTTTTGTTTCATTAAAACTTCCCATGGTCATATCAAAACCACATGATAGCCTTTCTTAATCCATGCAGCTTCATTGGGAAACAGTATGGATTTTTGGCAGTGCTTGATAATTCCTGTCTGCTGATCATTCGTTCTTTCCTTCCTTCGTTCTTTCCTTCCTTCTTTCTTTTCTTTTCTTTTCTTTCTCTCTCTCTCTCTCGTTGCGTT